GAAAAGAAACAAAAGAAGAAGGAAGGAAAAATTCATTTGTACATACCTCGACTGCACGAGGGTCGTATGAATAATCGACTGGTTGACAATAGAAACTATAATCGTTTAACCAGGCTAAAACTAATGCCTAGAATCAAAAATAAAAATAGAATCATATGCATACTATTAAAAATGTATATTATATCTCATTCATTAAATTTTGTCATTCATTAAATAAACATTATTAATAATTTCGTGAAGATTTTTACGTTAATATAAATTTAATTTTTTATTTTTATTTTTTGCATTCATAAGATTTATATATATAAAAAGTTAATAAAAAAAACATTAATATATTAATATTTATAATATAAACTTATAATAAAAACTTGTTGATCGAACTATGAATTATTTTTTTGCATTTGTCATTTCTTTTTTTTTTTTTCATCTTAACGATAAAATATCTTATCACCAATATTAATATTCAATCTTATAAAATGAATTTTTTGTATTGAGTATGATGGAGAAAAAAATTAAATATCATTATTTCTGTTTAATAATCTTTAAGTTTCGCATTTAAATGTCACGTGGAAAATCGTGTTAAAATATTAAAAAAAAAAATTTATTTTCACATACCTTGTAAAATACGAATGCGCATAATACTATCTGAATCAGATTATATATCTGTAAAATTCTATCCAGATTGAATGGTTTCCTCTTTGCCATGATATTGGGTCCCAATTCGTGCACGAAATACAAGTAAAAAAATATTATACCGAGACAACCCCATGGTGATTCGATGAGGAAGTAGTCTTGCGTCCGAGGATCTTCAAAAAAACAAAAATTTTTATCTTAATACTTGGAGAAAGATCTTAACTCATAAATATTTATATAAAAGATTCATATTTTTTTCCTTTCTTTTCTCTTTAATTTTTTTTTTTCAATTATTTCTTTTTATTATTTTCTCATCATAGAACCAAATCTATAAAAATATGGAATATATTAAAAACACTAAATAATAGAATACTACATAAGAAAAGTATGTAAGAGTGTTTACATTTTATTTAATCCATATCGTTAATTTATTATTTATATTATTTATATTATTATGCATGAAAATTTCATTTGTTTTCTTGGAAATTATAGAGACTAGAAGAACTAACATAAAAATTGATATAATCAGAATTTATTATTGTATCATTAAAGTTATTAGATGTATAATATATATATTACAAATATTACAAATACCTGATAGGTTTTCATTAATGTGACGATAACCGTTGTATATTCTTCGTATTAATGTCGCCATGGTTGAACGCTCCAATTAAATTTTCAGGAAAATCACATAAGATTGCAATATTTACTGATAAAATCAATTCAATTATTTTGATTGAAAGATCGAATCGAATATTTTTTTCCCCTTTTTAATTTTTATATTATTAATGTTTTTTCGGCAATATTTTAAACTTTCCAATCTTCTTGCTATTAACTTTAAATTGCTTTTATTTATATAAAAAAGAAAAAAAAAGAAGAAAAAAAAAAGTCAAAATTATATCGAAACTCACGGTTTCACATTGAATTTATTTTTTAAGTATTTCATAAAATTAGCTGATTATGAGCGATGATCAATGTCTCACTTCATCGATCTAACTAAATTTTAAAAATTTTTCATTTGACAAAATAACTTCCATTGAAAATTTTGATAAGTCATTGTATTTATGAATATATTGTAATTAATTAATCTAAAATTACAATATAACTATAGTGTTATATAACTAATGATTAAAATTCTTCCAATCCGATTTTATTTTAAAATGAACTATGACTTATGTAAATTATCGATTCTAAGCGTGACTGTTAAAAATTTTAAATAATTGTAAAAAAATGGAAAAACGAATAATTGTACAAAAATAATTGTTAATATAATTTTATTTAGATATTTTTGATTTTTGATTTTTTTTTTAATAATTTTAATAATTTTACATTTATTCGCGAAAGAATTTGATCAAGAATTAGAATTTGATTATTTCTTGGAATTTATTGGAAATCATATTTATCAGAAAATTTATTCAACTTTATTCTATTCTTAACTATTTTTAGAATGCTGAAATTAGAATTAGAAATTTGATATTGTATTATTTTGATTCAATTCTAAAAATTCTTTTAAAATTTAAAATTTTTTTAAAGTTTAAAATTTTCAATTATTATTATATTTATATTATATTTCAATTTATTATTATATAAAGTGAATTATACAAAGCATTTTTACAATATATATTTTTTTTTAATACGCATGAATATACAATGGATTCATACAATGAACAAAAATGTTTTTTTTAACAAATTTTTGAAATTGTAAATGTAATTATCATGAATTTTTATATAGTATAAAAGGATAATCATTAATTTAACATTAATTATTTGTTGCGTGTACAAATTTAAAAATTCAAAAGTAACAGTTTAAAATAAAAAAAAAGAGATATATATATATATAAGTAACAAGTATATAATATTTTGTATTAAGTAAATAGTACACGAAGAATAATATTTAGTATATATGATATATACACAGTAATTGAAGCACATTGGATTTTTTTGACATAAATTTTGTTAAAATATTTGAAATATTTTACTCGCAAAAAAATTGTTATTAATAAGAAAATAATAATTTAGTAATTTTTCCAATTTTATTATCAGATTTTATATAATTTTAATGATAATTATAATGGTAATTGACATTATCTTCAATAATAAGAAAAATAAAAAGGGAAAATTGCGTTTTATTAATAAATAAAATCAGTTTATTCTTTTTGTATAAATGATAAATTGCGACTTAATTTAAATATAATCATGGAAATTTTACCATAAATTTATACAAATTTTGATATAATTGCAAAAATACATTTGAAAAATGTAATTGATATATCTGTATTAATTTTCTCTAAGGTATATTAAAATGTCAATATTTTTTTATTAATTTATTTTATAATATAATATAAAATTAATTAAATGTCAATATTTCCACATTTTAATAAAAAAATTTTTTACATATATATTATATAATATTTATGTCGCTGATATAAAATATTATACAAGGTATAAATTTTTGAAACAAATGTAAAAGTTTGTATATAACGATGTTGAATGAGATATTAATTATTATTATGAATGATTGAAATTTTTGTCATCTTTGTCATTTTGCATGTTTTAATTTTATTCATTAAAGTTAGGAAAAGATCATATTGTCTTATATATTTAAAAACAAACAAAAAATAAAGATAATTTAATAAATGATGTCAATGTATATAATATGCATTATTATATATATATAGAAACAACTAAATAATATTTAAATTACAATATATCGTAAGATTATTATTGTAATATATATTAAACTATATTGACAATTAAAATATTGTTAAAAAATTTGAAATCATTTCTTTTATCTATACATATAAATATTTTTATTAATTTTTTTATCATATTATATTATAATATTATATATTATAATTTAAAATGATGCAAATAAGAAGAATTATATCCTTTAGTTCAATGATTTTTTGATTGAAAAAGTTTTTCAAGTTAACATTTAAAAATGTTTGTAATATTGCATAAATGTCGGTTGATTATTTATTAAATTATGTATAATTTATAATTTAACTAACTTTTATGTTTGTTTTAGTCTCTAAAATGATTGATTTGTGAAAAATTTATGATTATAATCTATTTAAAATTTAGAATTATTTCATTTAAATTATAATTTAAATATTAGATGAAGCGAGATACGGATAAAATGAGATGCATTTAATCTATCTCTGTTACACTGATTTTTGTCTCGTTTTATCTTTTAATATATATTTAAATTACTTATAACTTAATCTCAATTAATATTTTTATTAACATTTGCATATATAACACTTTTATATTATTTTAATTTTTGGAATCGCTTCATGAATAATATTCTAATATACATAACATTGTATTTTAGATTAATTTTCACCCAAATTTACTTATCTATATGTAACTTTATAAATTCTGTTCAAATGTTAATTTTATATAATCAATAATTTATTAACTAATATAATGCATATAATGCATGTATAATTGTACTTACAATTATGCATATGCATAATTATCATTTGATAAATATATGTATAATATGTAACGTAAAAAATATAACATAATTATTATAATTAATTAAATAAATAGAAGTAAAATTTAAAACTTAAAACTAAAATTTCAATATTTTGAATAATATTTTGAAGAGGAAAAAATTGGCTGATTATTTAATTTATTATTTTTTTAAAATAATGAATCCTTTAATTAACCAAATAAAAATCAAGACATCACTTAAAGTACGTTATTTATTAAATAATAAATTAACTTAATTAGCTAATTAAATAATAATTTAACTCTATTTAAAATGGATACATTTAAATTGTTGTATTTAAAATATTGCCCAGATCTTCTTTTTAAAATATTAAATATTAGAAAAATTGATATAAAGAAGAATAAAAAGAATTGTTAAATAATCTATTATATACCTGGTATATATTTATTATTGATAATCATGTATTTATATATTTATTTCACATACATAATTATATAAACATTTATAACATTTGTAACTTGTCTCGAATTTACAATATATTTATTATTAGATACATTAAAATGAATGATCCTTAATTAATAATAAGAAATGAATTTCTTAAATAATTAAGATAAAAAACATAAGAATAAAATTCTTTTTTTCTATTAATAACTTTTAACAAGTTTTATTATCTAATTTTTCTATTATAATAAATTTTTTTGTTTGAAATTATTTATTTATAAGAATTATAAATAAATAAAACAGATTTTGTAAATAATTGATATATTTTTAGTATATATGCACATATGCAATATCATATGCATAATTTCTAGAAACAATATAAATGATATTTTAAAACAAAACGGATGAAAAGGTCTTGTAGGTTTAATGGTCATGATCTTTAAACAAAGAGCACAGTTGAATAATTGAGGTTCCGCTGGATTTTGATGCATAAAAAATTTATTTAAAGTATTTTTTGATTGATAGTTAATCAATTTTGAAATCATCTTATAAAAATTTGAAGGAAATAATAAAACTTTTCAATTTTTATCTAAGAATATAAGTTCTTTTATTGTATAGTATTGCCATATTTATATATATACAGATTAATAGTGCATTTAAATTTCTTTTAATTTGATAAAATTCAAAAATTATTTTAGAATATTATTTTAGTAATATTAAATATTTTGTTAATGTTTTCATAATTTTCTTTTGTGATTATCAATTGTATAATGTGTTATACTTTATTATACTTTGTATTTTGTTATAAATTATCTTATTAAAATAATTATAATGAAAAGTAATATTTGAAAATAAAGGTATTAAAACACGAACTATCATAAAAAATAATTTATTTTAATATAAACCTTCTTTTTATTTAGATATAATAGAAATATATTAAAGACATATTCCTCTTTATTCAAATTCATTGATGAAAAATTTATTAGAACCCTATTAAATTTCTCTCTAATGATAATATTTTATATATATATATATATGATATATATATATATATATCATATATATATGAAATATATAAGTATTTATATAAAAAAATATGATATAAAAAATCATGAAATTACAAATACCAAAATTATTATTTATGATAACGATACTTGTTCTACCTTATCAACAAATAAAGCAATTCGATGAGATCGATTGATAAGTCCTTTAATCGAGCGATTCCTTTATTACCGATAATATCGACCAACATGTTATCAAGAATTAATTTTACAATTTTTTATATTTCTAATTATAATTTTCAATATAATTTTTATTCTTTTACAATAATTCAATTTCAAAGTTTTTTTAAATATTGCCAATATTCAATCACATAATTCGAAAGTAATTTATATGTATGTAAATATATTCAATTAAAGGGAACTGTATAATTAATTAAGTAGCTATGTAAAAAAATATATTTAGATAAAAAAATTAAATTAATTTGGTAAAAATGTCACTCGGCATATTTCACAGAAGATCGAATCTCGTTTTCAAACTAAGAAAACGAAATAGATCGATTGATAATAAATTATCTGGTCAAATATACATTTTTCTCGCTAGAGGGCTAGACGTATCTAACGAACACGAATGTTCTTTTATAACGAAGTAGATTTTTGTAACGAGAACCAAATGGCAAAATAATAAATAGTATCAATTCACTCCATTTTGTTCGCAGTCTTCGTTATTTTTTCAGTCTTATTTTTCTTCCGTTTTTCACTTTTGATGTAATTCTCGATATAAAACGAACCAAACAAATAAATAAAAATCAACGCATTAAGATTGAGCAGGGTCGTAAGAATTAATGGGTAATTACAACCGTTGAAATAGATTTGAAAAGTGTGGACAAAAATAATGCAGAATTGAATTAATTGCAATGACGTCAAGTATTTCTTCCACCAGAGATATTTGTTCATATGTGGTCCGATCGAAGCTAGCATATAGTATGCGTACATAATTATGTGAATGAACGAGTTGATGACACCCAACAATGTACCATGGCCATTTGGCAAAAATCTGCAACCAATCCAGCCGCAAATTGGCATCAACGCATGGTGGTATACATGAAGCGATGAGATCTGACGATTTTTTTTACGAAGAACGAAGAATACTGTGTCCAATAATTCTATCAACTTGCACATGAAATAGAAGTGAACAGCATTAGCCATCTGTAAATTATAATTTGATATAAGTTAATATAATATATTTTTAATGTTCATTTATTATTTTATTAAGTTATATAAGTGATGTTTTAATAGCTTAACTTAAATAAAAATATTTTCCATCTAATCCGTAATTTTAAAAATATTAAAATATAAACAAAAAATATTTTTCTTTTAATTTAAAATATATTAAAATACATTATTTTAACATTCATTTATTTTAATTAAATTTTCAATGATTTGGCTATTTGACAAATTTTTTAATAATACAAATATAAAAAATAATTTACTAATGTTGAGGCAATATAGCGAATGCGATATATTTGAATTAATTGAATTATTTATTTTTTTTATTGCTACGTTAAAAATAATATAATTGTAAATTACATTATAGTGGATAAAAATTTCTTTGCATTTTGCTAATCACCTTTCTTTTTATCAAAGTTATTGTTATTATTTAATTATTTAATTTTTCCATTATAAATTGCAATCGTGGTTATCTTTAACTTTGTCTAAAAGTTTATAACAAGTAATCAAAATTTCAATTAAAATTTCTAAAATGACATTATTTGCTGTTATTTATCAAAAGATTTAAAATTTTAATAATTAAAAATAAAAAAGTACCCTTCTAGATAGTGGATTGTCCGTATAATCAACAGGCTGGCAATAGTAATTGTAGTCGTGTAACCATCCAGACATCAATCCTTCGTAAAAGAGGTACATACTAAACAGTACTTGGATAAAATTGTAAACAATCATGGGAATTCTTAACTCATACGGTTTCTTGTCCTTCATATATTTTGGTCCAGCTGATAAGGAAAAGTATAAATAACTAACAATTATTATTATCACTGGGCCTAGTCCTGATATCAAAAACCAATCTTTCGTTACTGGATCTGAAATTATTAGAAATAAACATTACGATGTATCCAGTTAAGTACATGTAAATTATATGTCTTATACGTAATAAAATCGATAATAAAAATCTGCAGACTCGTCGAGGAAATATTATTTTAATCTTTGAGCGATATTAAACGATATTAACGATATATGTATGGAAAAATACATAGTAATTAATAATTTTTCCATTTTTATTATTACATCTATACAATGCTAATTTTTTTTTTATAAAAATAACTCACGGCTTTTATTCTCCATAATATCCTTATAAAACTCCATGATTCCCGACATTATTCTTGAATAATAATAAGAAAACCTGAAGAAAAAATAAAAAAAAGAGTAATAATAATATTCCATCAATAGATCTAGTTTTTTTCTACTGGATAAATACATTGATTTGAATATATAAATTTTAATGATATGAGTTCATTAATTAAGTCTGATGCTTAAAAATATATTTATTTAATGTTTGTCTTATCAAATATAAATGTTTCGAAGGCAAATTTTTCAATTAGATGAGAGAGAGAGAAAGAGAGAGAGAGAGCGAGAGAGAAAGAAAGAATATTAATTGTAACACATATAATCGTTTCGAAAATAAATATTACAAAATGAGCTTGTTGAATAGATTCGAACTTCATGTACAAGAGAAAATCAACGCCAAGCAAAAATTTATGTATAAAAATTTCGATCGAAATTTATTTATTAAATTATAAGCAATTTAAGTTTGCGTTAGATGAAGCGAGACAAAAATAGTGAAGATGATTCTTTTCTCCGCTACGCGCGCCACTGTCGCATTTCTCGTCTCGTTTCAATTAACGCAAACTTAATTTGCTTATAACATATAACAAATAACAAATAAGCCTCAGTTAACATTTCTATATACGAATTTTTCTGTTTGTTTTAACTTATGGAATGAACTTTCCAAAAAGGTGTGTCACGAATATATTAATAGTTTGTATAAACCAATAGTTTTATCTGCAGGATATTGCAATAAATAATAGTAGATAGCCTGCATAATAAATATTGAAGTTGACGTCCTTCTTTTATTTCACTTGCGATCAGATTTACTACTTCTAAACAATATGTAGCATAATATATATAATTATATATATTATATATATACAATATATGTACATATAAAATTTTTATATTTTATTTTATCCATGTATTCTCTATAATCGTATAAAGTTTATAAGTGCCAGATATATTAATTTGTATTATGAAAATTTGTTATATAATAAAAATATTAAAACGTATACACAAAAATGATTGAAGTAATTAATTAATTTGAATTTATTATTTCTTATATATATATAAAATGTTTCAAATAAAAATTACTTAATATTAAATGAAGTATGTAACAATTGATTCTCTTATCGAGACGCAAAAATTACTTTACATATTCCCTCCTCCTTATAATATAAATATAAAATACAATTTTCATTTCGCCTTTCATGATCCTCTTCAACGATTGTGAAGAAAAAAAAAAAGAAGAAAGAAAAAAAAGAAAAAATGAAATCTATCATTCCAACAGGTTTGGTACTTTTCCAAGCCAACTAACCAAACAATAGCGCGAGAGTCCTTGATTCCACGACGAATTTCCTTCGTTTTGTAATTATTTCTCAATTACAGCGGAATGCAATCAACGAAACTACAAGTATGCGTTGATACTACTTTTCCTACTGGTGCATATGGCCGAGAAAATTGTCAAGACTCATTCCACGAGTAATATATTTCTTCGTCACACTGGCGTTGTGTGACAATGGCCTTTCATATCGTATTGTGACGTGTTCTCTCGGTCGAATCTTTTTCGATAGACTATGGCGTGAAAAAAATGGAAGAACAAAGAAATACGTTTCCTTATATGATACGAAGGTAAATTAGGAATCAGCATTTACCATGGCTCGCTAATGGATTGACAAATCGAGACACGTGGTTAGCCATACAAAGTTGGCGCGCGTACAAAAAATAAAATACAAAGTAGGATTAACCGTTTGTTTATTTTTAATACGGTATCTTATGATGCATTATGGGAATGCTGATGTAAGAATATTATCGAGAGTCGAGATCTATTGAATTTGAGTTTAATTTATATTGAATTTTATAATTAAGATTAGGATTTTAATTTGAGAGAGTAAAATCAATTCTCGAAATTTCTTTATATTTTTTTATACTTTTTGCAAATACATTATAACTCTAAGAATTAATTTCACAGTCTTTGTTGAAAAAATATCAGTCTATATAAAGACAATTATATTTAGAAAGAAAAAGAAAAAAAAATTTGACAAGTTTATATTGAGATATATGAAATTGAATATATAATGTAATAAGAATTTTCTCAATTAATTATTCTTAATAATGTGATAGTGCTGCCATCATCGGTTTCCTTGATTTCAAAAATAATGCATTATACAGTTAGAATTTTTTTAGAAATTTTCATTTGCATTCGACCATTGTCTCTTTCTCAAACAAAGGCTAAATTAATATTTATATGAATAAGATTTCACTTCTATTATATATACATTATATATTTCTAATTTAAATAAATTAAAATAATATTCTTAAAAATTTTTTTCAGATAATTGAGCGAAGAAATCAGCTAATAATTGAAAAAAATAACGGAAGAGAAGAATAATTTATAATAAATATGCAAGAAAAAAATATATAATAATATCACGATAATTATATAACGAAAGAAATTTTTATTCCATAATTATATATAATTTACATAAACATACCACTATTAATACCACCATAGTAATATCCTTTTATTATTGTTGATTACGTTAACGAGTTTCATTCTTTCCATTTTATTATACATTATACGAAATATATAATATCAATTCTTAACTCAAGTATGATAATCAATTTTTTTAATAAAAAATAAAAATTAATTAAAATTTCATAACAGCAATACAAATCGATTTACTACAAACATTAAATTCAAAATAATAACCAAATTTCCTTTTATTACATGATAATTAAAACGCTAAACCATACTTTGAATAAAATTAAAAAAAAAAAAA